CCAGGCCATCATTCCAGACATTGTCAAACGCTTTTTCAACGTCCAACAACGCCATGGCAGATGTTTTCGAAACAGACTTGTTCAGTCTGAGAATGTTTGTCACTCGAGTCAGCTGGTGGACGGTCGAACGACCTTTCCGAAAACCAAACAAGTTGTTTTCATCGGCAGATGTTAGGAGCCGGAACAGTTTTGATAACCCTGAGAGAAGGCTGATTGGTCGATAACTTGAAGGAGAGGACGGATCCTTCCCAGGTTTCCGGATGGGTATGACTTTTGCTGACATCCAACACGAGGGGCAGTAGCCAAGTCTGAGGCACTGATTAAAAATCAGTGCCAGATGGTTGTAGAATCTGGAACTCAAGTGTTTGAGTTCCAGATTCAGGATGTTGTCGAAACCTGGGGCCTTCATGTTTTTAGATGATTTGATATAGGCCAACAGTTCGTCAACCGTAATCTCGGATTCCTCTGGAAAAATGTTAGGAATCTGAAGAAGATTGGTTGCCTTTTCAGCAACCTCATATTCATGAGGGCTGACGATGTTTTGTTCGAGATTATGGGAGCTGACGAAGTGTTGACCTATCGCGGCAGCCTTCTCTTCAGGAGTTATCAGATGAACCACTGAGTTGCCGGGACGATCCATTGGGGTCAGTGGTGGAATGGGCTTAGGCTTGTTTTTAAGAATTTTTGTAAGTTTCCAGAATGGCTTAGCACAATCTGGGAGAGAGCGGATCTTACTAGCAAATTCGTTATTTCTGAGATCCACCAACCTGGCCTGAATGATCTTTGTTAATCGATTACAATTGGTCTTCAAGTTAGGCAGGCCAGTACGCTGGTACTGCCTACGAATGGTGTTACGGAGTCAAATGAGATCTTTGGTAGGGCTGTCAAGGTTCAGAGTGTTACTCACCTGTCTGGATACTGGCACGTGTTGTTCCCTGGCCCAGGAAATCGCCTCCTCAATGGTTTGTAGACACCGGTCAACATCTACCGACGTCCCCGGTTGGACATCGTAGTCGATGGTTGTGTCGACGCAGTGTTGATATTGCGCCCAGTTGACTCGATGGTAGTTGCGCCGGGAAGCTTCGAATCGATTTACCGAGGATCCAACTTCGGCCACCACCGGGTAGTGGTCCGAGCTCAGCTCCTGGAATGCCACAGGTTGCGATATGTTGTGTCCCATGTTGCTTACGAAGATGTCAATGGTCGCATGGGCCCCAGACCGGCTCAACCGGGTGGGAGAGTCCGGGGCAAAGATGGTATAGTGGCCCTCTTGCAGGTCGCCATTGTCCTTCATTGCTCCGACCGTTGCCCCAAGCTTGGTGTTTTGCGTTCAGATCGCTAGCGATGATAAAGTTCCCGCTTCTCCGGGTGAGTTTGATGATGTCTTTCCGGAGGGCCACTGACGACCCGTCCCTGATATTGGTTTGCATGGGGCAGTAGGCCGCGATGATGGTGATTGGGCCAAGTGATGTGCTCACCTCCACTCCGATGGCTTCAATTGTTTTCAGCTGGAAGTTTGGTAGCAGCCGGCAACTGATGTTCCGTCTTGCAGCGATGGCCACTCCTCCACCTCCAGAGCAGGTGCGATCAAGTCTGACGAGCCGGAAGTCGGGAAGGAATACGTTCAGTTCGGGCTTCAGATGCGTCTCGGTGATGATAGCAATGTCGACCTCCTTGGTGTTGAGGAAATCGAGTAGCTCTCTATGCTTGTTCGTCAGTGAGCAAGCGTTCCAATTTGCAATTTTTATAGCTTCACGGTCCATACTTGGTGACGAGTGACAAGGCAAGTGTTCAGATCGAGTCTTGCAGGTACGCATGATGATGATGACCTCGGCCACGAGCGTCACAAGTTCCTCCGAGGTGAACGGAGAATCGTCGACAGATTCACCTGAGACAGCACCAGCGTATGATAAACCAGGGGCGGTGGATGAACCTGGAATTGGCTGGGCCGCAGCAGCAGTGAGACGATGCTGAACTGTCCGACTGCTGGGAACCATTTGGATACTCGCAGGATTGGCTTGTTGGTTGTTGAGCGGAAGCGAGGCTAGGTTTGGAACATGTCGACGGGGCTGGAGAGCTGGGTACTGGACTTCCGTGAGTACAGGAGGCGAACGATCGGGTACACTGCATCAGGCTTGAGCCCAGCTCGGATTTCACCGCAGTCGCCTCGAACGACGGTAATCCACGCAAAACCACCTTCAGTGGTTTGCTCGATGGCAGATCATGCGTGAAGAAGTCCACGTTGTTGTCCTTCAGGGAACATCCTATTTGTTTGTACTCCTCCAGGCTGGAGCACATGATTTTGGTACTGATGCTGCTTAAAGCGAGGCAGCAGCTTGTGTTTTGCCAGTTCGGCACCCAGCTTGGCAACATCCTTCATCGGCGTGAAAAGCGGTGGAATCCGCTCTCTTCTTACGATGGGAACGGCGTCACCATCGCCATTTTCTTCCGGGAGTACTGCATACTGGTTGGCTTGCAGTACTCGTTTTCCGGCGTCATCCTGCGACGCGCTGGGCTTGATTAGCACCTTCTTTGAAGGACCCGCTGCTGACTCATTGGCACGTTTACGCACCATTTGTTTCGTGTTTGCAAGTTCAATTAAACTTGCCAGAACTCGAGAAGGTGGCGACACTTCCACGGCGCAACGCGACAGCACAAAACGAAACAAAATTGAATCGAGAACTCGAGCGAAAATACGGATTGAACAGCTCGACAGTCGAGCCAAGAATAATGGATGAGCAGAAGCGTGACAGCAGTACTGTTTTATATCATTTCAGAACGATGTGCAACCTAGTGGTACTCGATTATGATGTCTGGGTTTGGGAAAAATGCTTATTTCATAGAAACAGTGATAAAATTATCATTTGTACATTTTTCAAAAGTTTTATTACAAAAAAAAAAAATAGAAAAATATTTATGTCACCAGATTTGTAATGTAATATCCTATCGATTGGAGTATTTGGATTTTAATTTCATCTATAAATGACAAAGTTACAAGCGTTCAAAACCTAACACTACTTCACCACACATATTTTTTGATTTGCACCCCAGTATAGTCGACAAAGACGTAGTTGTACGTGGCCAGAAGATGGGTAATTACGGTGTTTTGTATCAGTCTCCCAGTGATTAAAGCCGAAGAGTTTCTTCCCATCAACATGTTGCACACATTAGAGAAAATTTTAGAACTTGTAGATAAAGGCCAGCTGTTGGAGTATTTAAATAGTAATAGTTTGTTGATACCAGAACAATTGGGATATCGGGAAGGTCATTCTTGTGAAACCGCGTTGAATTTGGTATTAGCGAAGTGGAAAAATAACTTGGAGTGTAAAGATACGATTGTTGCTATTTTTTGGATCTTAAACGCGCTTTTGAAACAGTTTCTAGGCCCTTATTGTTGAGATCAATCAAGCGCTTTGGAATTAAGAGTACTGCATATAAATGGTTTGAAAGCTATTTATCTGACAGAACTCAACTGACTGCTTTTAATGATTATGCGTCCAGTCCCGTGGGGAATAACCTTGGAGTGCCCCAGGGAAGTGTATTAGGGCCCCTTTTATTTATTATGTATATTAATAACTTGTGACGTGTTTTACGGTTTTGCGACATTAAATTTTTTGCAGATGATACTGTGTTATTCATTGCACCTAAGGAGTTAGATGAAGCCGTTTACACTTGAATGAAGATTTGCGTTCTCTAAGTAGATGGTTGAAGTATAAGCAGTTGAAATTGAATACAAGTATTGATCGCGTTCGGGAGATTAAATATCTTGGCGTGATTATTGATGACAAACTTATGTTCAACTCTCACATTGACAATGTCATCAAGAAAATTGTCAAGAAGTGTGGAATTCTATGTCGACTGAAAAACGATTTAACTATTACCAGTAAAATACAGCTAAACAAATCAATCATCCTCCTCATCTAGACTAGGATATAGAGGACTGAATTTAAAATTTGATAAAAAAATGCAATTTTGAAGCTTATTTGGAAGCTACCTTGAGTTATTAGTAAGTTTTCTGGCAAATGTTGGGGGTTCGTGAGCATTCCTGACATTGCTGAAAATTATGATAGCATCTGATTTCGGGGTTGCTAGTGTAATAGTATGCTTTGTTGATTGTTCACTAACTCTTAATTGCTTGTAATACTTATGAATATTTTAGGTGGACAAAAAGGCGAACTAAGAGGTGGACGCCTGAGTTTTTCCACATTTATAACATGATTAACTACGCATGATTTTTTTCCACGATTACTTGTTGATGCGTTTTTGGAATGTATTTGGAGTTGTGACCGAAACATCTTCCCACGGAACCACAGGATGATCACCCGGACGAAATTCCCCTGTATTGTAGATTTTACATGAAATGAAACAAATATTTTCATCATTGCTATAAACAACCACGGTAAATTGCAAATGAACTGCAAATTGCAACCAGGACAATACCCGTAAAAGAGAGTAATAAGCTCTCACATTGCTGCAAGCAAAACGATAATTAAAGCACCATTAGCACACTCTAAAGCCTCCGAGGCTCGGCAGAATAAAACACAGATTTTTTTTGTTCCCCTAATTGAAACCACCATGAAGATTATGATTACGGTAGATAGTGTGGGAGGGATTGCAAGATTGCCGTTATTTTGCATTCTTACTGGTTGGACGAAAAATAGCCAACAGCAACATAAAAATAACACCACCTTCATTCGCAACAACAGCAACGACAACGCCATAAAGTCGTTATAATTTATCATTTATATGTTCTCATCTGTCTAAACGTTAAGATGCTGGCGGGCAGACAGAACGAACGCTCCCGGCATCGACCAGCTAAGATACCTACTACTGCTTCCCTCCGGAAAACGCGTTACCCACTGAGGGACTATTTCTCCGCAATGACTCTACTCAGTCGGTACCGTGTTCTTCGGGGGATAACTGTAGCTACTAGGAGATGAGTTGATTTTAATCATTTCTGTGGCCATTGTTTTCTTTCCATTGACGTCGACCGGGTGCAGCAGCCGATATGGACAGCGTAAGCGAAGTGCGGCACAAGCGAGGACCGACGGTGGGATTGTTTGCCTTTCCGCGGGTCGGCCGTTCCGATCCGGACCTGCTGGAATGGGGTGATGCAGCAGCCGCCGCCGCCTCGCTACCACTGGAACTGGCAGATGATTATGGTACCGATTCAATTAGATTATCTTGAGCACCGATACTCAAGTACTTGTGCGATCATTTCAGAAGACTATCCCATCCGGGAATCGAAACGGCAGGGATTGGTTCCGTTCCCGCGGGTAGGACGTGCCGGAGCCAACCCCGCCCGCTACTACTACTGGCCCAAGACGGTGCAGCAGAAACGTGCTGGCAATTCCGGTGCCAACAGTGGCATGTGGTTCGGCCCCAGGCTAGGTAAACGTGCCAACGCGGCATCCACCGAGATCAAAGGTGAACAATTGTAAACACAGGTGATTAATTGTTCAGTGTTGAATGACGATTTACACTTTTCCGTTTTTTTTTTTATCATCTTCCAACTGTGCAATGAGAAACAATCTACATGTTACTGGATGGGATGTAAATGGGCATTTTGACGCAACGGACTGTGCATGTGAGGGGAAAGGGAATCCATTCCCCGCAAAGAATGAGCTGGTTTTTCATTCTGAATATTTTTCTCTCTCTTGAAAACTGTGCCATTTCGAATTGACTAACGTGATTTGCCTTCCAAAATCGAACAGGTAACGAAGTCTACACACCCCGCCTCGGCCGTGACTGGGACGGGGAAACCGGAGACTTGAATGCCCACGGCAGAAGCAGCAGCAGACTAGTAGACTTTGAGCGCCTTCTCCGATCATCGCTATCGTCGGAGAACTAAATTAGACTAAACTCAACATTTTTCTTATTAGGATAATGATTGATTAGCATTGTGATCAGCTTATTAAGAATACAACAAACAACGCTAAATTGTCCGTCAAAGATCCATGAGTACACCAAATCACACGGAAAAAAGGCTGGAGGAAGCTTGTTCGAGTGCAAACTGCGATTGAAATAGTTGCTGAAAACAAGCTTTCTAACTTATTAAAACCGGTGGAACTTTCACAAACAATTTTGCGAACCTTGCAATGCAATATGAGTAAATCTCTCTTTAAACAAAATAATAACAACAACAAAATAAAATAAAACAGTGTATTTTGCGGATGGGATGTCACACAGCTCAGTTTGTCTCTCTGAAAATGCAATGCAAAACATCTATGAATAAAGTGTTCAAAAACCAGTGTTGCTCCTGTTGACAGTTAGAAAGGTTATCCCCAAACGTTGTATATAAGAAGTGAAAATATATTCGCATTTGTAAATTAAAAAAATTACTTAGTCAATGCTCTAAGACACATATCCGAATCATCCCCGTGGTTTATCTTTTTAGCAAGCAGCGTGCTACAGATGAGACTCAGCATTTTCCAAGCAAAGGTCTCTAGGTACGCCTTATGACGGATCTTAAAAACTTCGATTTGCATGAAACTTTGCGTAATTGTTTGTTATTTATTGAAATTCGGCCAGTTTGGATCTTTCGCAATTTTTAAATTGTAGCACGAACTGTTAAAGCACTTGGATTGAACCCAGAAGATCTTGCAGTTGAATCAGTTGCGAAAACCTACTACACGTTTCATTCTGGGAAAGTCTCAGAGTTGTCATATTTTTCGTTTTTTCGATTGGTTGAAGGCGCTTGATAAGATTTTTCTAGAAAGTGCGTGAGTATAAAAATTGAAGGCTATTTCCGTGATTATTTTTTAAGGAATTCCGGTCGTGTGAGCTGTGGTTCGGGTTCTCCGTTATTTTCGGTTCCGTCGTGAGATTTGTATTTTCTAGTGCGCGGTTCAAGAATAAAATTTACGGTTTGCGAAGTGTAGTAGCATAGAGGTTACTCTAAGACCAGAAGGTCCCGAAGAAACTTGGTCAACTTTTTGGCTCAGCTCTGGTACTCTCTTCGGTCCCAAGCTAATCGATGCACCCCTCGAAACATCGGCAAATCCACGAAACCCTCATTTTATCTGTCAAACTTTCATAGCGAATCAAAACAAACATAGTGCAGTACTAGAATTTCGTCTAGAATGGGGTACGTTAATCGATTTGCTTGGGACCAATAGGCTAGTCAAGTAGTGAGCCAATTTTAAATCGTTAGTTGCCACTGGTTGGTAGTAGTGCTTTTACGATTTTGGTTACCTCTGATACTTCGGAGCAGCTGCATGCTCAAGAACAAAAACGGCCAGTGGTACATCTATCGCTAGGGGCGTTGCTGCTCTTCTGTTTCTGCTGCTTACAAAACGAAAACTCTGCCATTTGGACCATGTCATTTTTGAGAGATCGGTGAGATAATTCCATATTTTATATTATTTTGCGAACAATTTCAATCTATATATGGCAACAAGGGTTTTAGACATTGCTGGTGTTAATAAAAATCGATCGATAATGCAAACTTGAATTATTCCTTATTTCCACTGTTGAACTCTGTTCAGCTGGCATGAAGACACAAACTCACACACACAGATATCCAGTTAAAGAAAAGTTCACGGCTCCGAAAAAATAATTACGTTTTGATTTTTGTAAAGGTATTGGAGAGAGATAACAGATATCTGAAGGCATCACATTTTTTTCTGATTTTTTAGGGAGGATGTGCAAAAACATTTTCTAGTCATCATGGAATAAAGCTGGACTCAAAAAAAAACACGAAACAGCGACATTTTGGTTTTGCAGAGTGTCTCATTTTTTTAAAAAGAAATTTAATTGTCGGTTCGGTGAACTTCCTCTTAAAGATGCCCACAAAACTAGCTTCTTTTCCCTTTTTTTCTCATTTTCTTCATCTCTTTTCAGAAGGCGAGTAATGGCGCTATAACCATTGGCCATAAGAGTTAGTGCTCTTGTCCGAACCACTTAAAGAAGATGGAGCATTCCTTAACATGTTTAGACTAGATTCTCCCAACGACCAATAAATAACAATACAACGGAACGTACGGTACGAGATGTCCACGTTTCATCTATTTATTTGATTCTGAAGAATTGTGTTTAAATCTTTGACTTAAACAGGCCCGATGTTTCTGAATCATCTTGCCCCTTTAATGCTGCACAGTAGGCCTGGCCCTTTTGATATATTTTGCTCATCTCTGCAACATATTCCTTTTCTTCTTTCCTTTATTTAACGTCGGTCTCTGTTCCGCAATCTAGTGCCAATCACCGACGGACATCGATTGCCATCCATTGACGGCAACCGAATGTGCAGGAAGGCTGCGTAGGATATCGCACCCATTCACAACACACATGGGCCGGGACCAACGGCTTTACTTCCCTTCCGAAGGAAGACGTGACCAGAGATTTTTATGCCTCAGAAAAATCCCACCGATCTCGGCTGGGATTGAACCCAGACCCATTGGGGTGAGAAAGCAGTCACGCTTACCACTACACCACCGGTGCCGGCCAACATATACCTAATAGACAAGAAAAATGATGGTGGTATATTTATCATTTTCCAGGATGCTTTCATGAACTGGCTGTGTTGATGTTAGATTAGATTAGATTAGACACCGTCTGGGAAAGTCTCAAACTAGCGAACATGACGATATATCAGTGTGAAAAAGGAAGTCCAAAAGTCATCACAGGATATGCAAATGATAATCCTGTGTCAATTCTCGAGAAGTTTGTGGCAGATAAGGAGGCTGATGAAAAATCAGTTCGTGCTGATTTCTTTGTCATCAGAAGTGGGCAACGAACAGAGTTGCATTTTACTCGCGTGTGCAAAAATGTGCTGCCGAGACTCTCAACAAACCGTCTCCCGTCGCAACGAAAACAACAGGTGACGCGCGAGAAAGAGACACGCGAGAATAATGTCGTTTTCGTTAACCCTCCGTTACTCGCGCTGTTGTACTTTGTACAACACACATGAGTTTTCCATTGCCATTTTGTTGCTGAGTTACCAATCGATCTGAAACCAACGAGTATTCCTCAAAAAACTTGTTTTGATCTAAACAAGCTAAACTTTGATTACAGTAAACACCTACAAAATGCGGATAATAGGGAAAATGTAAATGGAAACCGCGAAAACTGTGACCATAGTACGTGGGATTTGACTTATTTGATTACAACATGGAACATATCAAGATTCTGACAAGATAGAAAGTTACTGTCTCTGACAAAGTTGTTCAGGAGATCATAGCCTTGTCACTGACGGACAGTAGTATACAAGTGAAATTCTCGCATGTGATATATATCGAGATCCTGACCAGATGAAAAGTTACAGTCTTTCACAAAGTTTTTCAGGAGATCAAAGCCTATAGCTTGGTGCTCAATAGTTCAGAATTTTCTCACTACGCGACGCTAGTATACACGTGAAATTCTCTTATAAAATATCTCGAGTTCCCAACCAGTTAGAAAGGTACTGTCTTTGGCATAGTTGTTCAGGATGTCAAGGCTTTTTCGCAGGTGGACAGTAGTTCAGAGTTTTCTCACTATGCGGCGCTACTATAGATGTGAAACTCTTGCATATAAAATATCTCTAGATCCTGACCAGATAGAAAGTAAATGCATTTGGCAAAGTTTTTCAGGAAGTCAAGATCTTTTTGTTGGGTGAAAATAGTTTAGAATTTTCTCACTATGCGGTGCTAGTATATACGTGCCTTTCTCCCATATTCAATAGCTCGAGATCTTGATCAGCTAGAAAGTTGCCATAATCTTCGGCAAAGTTGTTTAGTGGGTCAAGACTTTTTGGCTGGTAAACAGTGGTTAAAAATTTTCTCACCACCTGGCGTTAGTATACATGTACACTTCTCGCATATGCTATATCTCGAGATCCTGATCAGATAGAAAGTTGTTCAGGCGGTTAAGGTCTTTTGGCTGGTGGACAGTAGTTCAGAATTCTCTCACTTCATGATGCTAGTATACATGTGAAATTCTCACATATAAAATATCTCACGTTCTTGACCAGATAGAAAGTTACTGTCTTGAACAAAGTTGTTCAGGAGTTTAAAGCCTAGAGTTTATGAGAAAATTCTAAACTATTGTTCACCAGCCAAAAGACTTTGACCTCTTGAATAACTTTGTTGTAGACAGTAACTTTCTATCTGATTAGGATCTCGAGATATAGCATATAAGAGAGGTGTACATCTATGCCACGTGGTGAGAAAATTCTTAACTACTGTTTACCAGCCAAAAATGCTTTGACCTCCTGAACAACTTTGTCGAAGACAGTAACTTTCTATCTGGTCAGGATCTCGAAACAAACCACATGCGAGAATTTCTCTTGTATTCTAGCGCTACGTAGTGAGAAAATTTTGAACTACTGTCCACTAGAGAAATCTATCTGATCAGAATCTTGAGATATTTTACATGCGAGAATTTCGCGTGTATACTAGCGCCACATAGTGTGAAAATTCTGAACTATTGTGCACCAAGCAATAGGCATTGACCTCATGAACAACTTTTTCGAAGACAGTAATTTTCTACCTGTTCATAATCTCGAGCTTAGCATACGCGAGAATTGTACACGTTTACTAGCGCCATGTGATGAAAAATTTCTAGGCTACTGTCCACCAGCCAAAAAGTCTTGACCCCCTGAACAAGTTTGCCAAAAACAGTAACTTTCTATCTGCTCAGGATCTCGAGCTATTGTATATGCGAGAATTGCATGTGTATACTAGCACCGAGTAGGGAGAAAATTCTGAACAACTGTCCACCAACGAAAAGATCTTGACTTCCTGAAAAACTTTGCCAAAGGCATTTATTCTGTATCTCGCCAGGATCTAGTGATGTATCACATGCGAGAACTTAACATGTATACGAGCACTACCTAGTGAGAAGATTTTGAACTACTGTTAATCAGCAAAAAAGCTATGATCTCCTGAACAGCTTTGTCTAAGACAGTAACTTTCTATCTGGTCAGGAGCTCGAGATATTTTATATGAGAATTTCACGTTTATACGAGCGCCGTGTAGTGAAAAAATTCTGAACTACTGTCCACCAGCCAAAACTACTTGACACCCTGAACAAGTTTGCCGAAGACAGAAACTTCTATCTGCTCAGGATCTCGAGCTATTGTATATGCAAAAATTGCATGTATATACTAGCGCCACGTGGTGAGAATTTTCTGAACTACTCCACCAACGAAAAGATCTGGACTTTCTGAAAAACTTTGCCGAAGACAGTAGCTTTTTATATGGTAAAGATCTAGAAATATTTTACATATATATGCGAGAATTTTACATGTATACTAGTGCCGCGAAGTGAGAAAAAACTGAACTACTGTCCACCAACGAAAAGGCCTTGACCTTCTGAACAACTTTTGCCACGACAGTAATTTTCTATCTGGTCATGATCTCG